TGGATTGTTGCAATGCACTTTATGTGGGGCTTCCCTTGAGCTTGACCTGGAGGGTGCAGTTGGTACAGAATGCTGCAACACAAATGCTGACAGGAGTGAGGCCCCGTCTGCACATAACACATCTGCTCAGAGAGCCGCAGTGGTTGCCTATCTGCTGTTGGACTAAGTTCAAGGTGCTACTATTACTAATGCCTTTAACACCTTGGGATTGGTTTACTTGCAGAATCGCCTTACCTCTTGGCTGCTTCAATCTGCAGAACTAACACTGTCATAGGTGCTGCATAATACTTATTGCACACTCCAAATAAATCAATCTTACAGCACCTACACTCCCTGCCTATTGATATTAAGCCTTTGCTATATTCTTTTTGGTGCTTGCTAAAAATATATTTGTTTAGGCAAGGCTATCCAGACATGCAGAAGTTGCTTGTATTTCATCTCTTTTCAGCTACTGTTGATTTTAGTGATCTCTTGCATCTTTTTAAAATATCTTACTTTTACTAGTCTTTTTTTAAAAAAATTGAGGATGTTTTGTTTTTATATTTTTTGTAAACCACTAAGAGGTTTTCTTACAATCCAACAACATACAGTCACGGGAAAAAGAAAGCGCACCCTCTTTGAATACTGTGGTTTTACATATGAAGACATAATAACAATCATCTATTCCTTAGCAGGTCTTAAAATCAGGTAAATACAACCTCAGATGAACAACACATGACATATTACACTGTGTCATTATTTATTTAACAGAAATACAGTGGTACCTTGGGTTACATATGCTTCAGATTACATACGCTTCAGGTTACAGATTCCGCTAACCGAGAAATAGTACCTCGGGTTAAGAACTTTGCTTCAGGTTGAGAACAGAAATTGCGCGGCGGCAGTGGGAGGCCCCATTAGCTAAAGTGGTGTTTCAGGTTAAGAACACTTTCAGGTTAAGAACAGACCTCCAGAACGAATTAAGTTCTTAATCCGAGGTACCACTGTAAAGCCGAAATGGAAAAGCCATGTGTGAAAAACTAAGTACACCTTATGATTCAATAGCTTGTAGAACCACCTTTAGCAGCAATACCATGAAGTAATTGTTTTCTGTAGGACTTTATCAATCTCTCACATTGTTGTGGAGGAATTTTGGCCCATTCTTCTTTACAACGTTGCTTCGGTTCATTGAGGTTTTCTGGCATTTATTTATGCACAGCTCTCTTAAGGTCCCACGCAGCATTTCAATTGGGTTGATGTCTCAATTTTGACTGGGCCATTGCAACACTTTGATTCTGTTCTTTTCTCCTTTTTTCTCACTACAGAACCATCTACTGTAGATTAGAAAAAGAGTTGATTCAATCAAAAGAGAAAGCTCTCTCTAAAATTGCTGGAAGAAATATCAACAACCTCAGATATGCAGATGACACAACCTTGATGGCAGAAAGTGAGGAGGAATTAAAGAACCTTTTAATGAGGGTGCAAGAGGAGAGCGCAAAATATGGTCTGAAGCTCAACATCAAAAAAACGAAGATCGTGGCCACTGGTCCCATCACCTCCTGGCAAATAGAAGGGGAAGAAATGGAGGCAGTGAGAGATTTTACTTTCTTGGGCTCCATGATCACTGCAGATGGTGACAGCAGCTACGAAATTAAAAGACGCCTGCTCCTTGGGAGAAAGGCGATGGCAAACCTAGACAGCATCTTAAAAAGCAGAGACGTCACCTTGCCAACAAAGGTCCGTATAGTTAAAGCCATGGTTTTCCCAGTAGTTGATGTATGGAAGTGAGAGCTGGACCATAAAGAAGGCTGATCGCCGAAGAATTGATGCTTTTGAATTATGGTGCTGAAGGAGACTCTTGAGAGTCCCATGGACTGCAAGAAGAACAAACCTATCCATTCTTAAGGAAATCAACCCTGAGTACACACTGGAAGGACAGATCGTGAAGCTGAGGCTCCAATACTTTGGCCACCTCATGAGAAGAGAAGACTCCCTGGAAAAGACCCTGATGTTGGGAAAGATGGAGGGCACAAGGAGAAGGGGATGACAGAGGACGAGATGGTTGGATAGTGTTCTCGAAGCTACCAGCATGAGTTTGACCAAACTGTGGGAGGCAGTGGAAGACAGGAGTGCCTGGCGTGCTCTGGTCCATGGGGTCACAAAGAGTCGGACACAACTAAACAACAACAACAAAATGTATAAACTTCTGTTGTAGATTTGCTGGTGTGCTTGGGATCCTTATCCTGTTGCATGACCCGATTTTAGCCAAGCTTCAGCTGTTGGGCAGATGGCCACACATTTGACTGCAGGATACTTTGGTATACTGAGGAGTTCATGGTAGACTCAATGACTGCAAGGTTCCCAGGTCCTGTGGCTGCAAAACAAGCCCAAATAATTACCCCTCCAGCGTGCTTGACAGTTGGTATGAGGTGCTTGTGCTGATATGCTGTGTTTGGTTTTTGCTAAACATGGCGCTGTGCAATATAGCCAAACATCTCCACTTTGGTCTCTTCTATCCAAAGGACGTTGTTCCAGAAGTCTTGTGGTTTCTTCAGATGCAACTTTGCAAACCAAAGCCATGCTGCCATATTATTTTTAGAGAGACGAGGCTTTCTCCTGGAAACCCTTCCAAACAAACCAAACTTGTTCTGTCTTTTTCTAATTGCACTGTCATGAACTTAAACATTTAACATGCTAACTGAGACCCATAGAGCCAGAGATGTAACTCTTGGGTTTTTTGCAATTTCTCTGAGCATTGCAGGGTCTGACCTTGAGGTGAATTTGCTGTGACGTCCACTCCTGTAAAGATTGGCAACTGTCTTTAACATTTTCCAATTTTGAATAATCTTTCACATTGTAGAATGATGGACTTAAAACTGATTGAAGATGCCTTAGAACTCTTCCCAATTTCATTGGCAGCAGCAGTTGCTTCTCTAAGAGCATTGTATCATCTTTGCTTTTATAGAAGTGGGCACACCTGCTGATGATCAATTAAGCAAGGGCATTTTATTAGCAGTCCTTGTCTGCTACTTAGCCTCTTAATTCATATGGAAGCAGTAAGGGTGTACTTAGTTTTTCGCACATGTTTTCTCCATCTTGGCTTTAATTCTGTTTAATAAATCATGACACGGTGTAATATGTCATGTGTTGTTGTTCATCAGAGGTTGTGTTTTCCTGATTTTAAGACCTGCTAGGGAACAGATGACTGCTATTATGTCCTGATATGTAAAACCACAGAATTCAAAGAGGGTGCACTTTCTTTTTCCCATGACTGTATATATGTCGTTAAATAAAATAAATAAACAAAACTGCAACACTGCTGCTATTAACAAATTCATCACCCCAGGTAAACAAATAATTCTGAGGCCAGATTATAAGAGAGGTGTTCCCAGTTGGTAAGTCTGGGCACCGCTCTGCTCTCTTCCAAAGCATCTCTTCGGCTCAAGCTGTGGAGCTCAACAAACTGCAACTTGAGACCCAGCTATGGAAAAGACACATCATGTTGCTCCACCAGTTTCTCACTCCCTGTGCCTGGTCAGAATCCTATACTCACAACATCCAAAACAGTTCCCATCAAAAAGTTTAAGTTCATCAGACAAACTTTGTCACGGTTGGCAGAGGGTGACTCAAAGCTGATGAGAAGCAGAGACTGAAATTTACATGGCCTCTTTGTAGCCATGCCAGTCCTTCAAGAAGCTTGCAGCAAAGGCCATAGCTCAATGGTAGAGCATCTGCTTAGTATGAAGAAGGTCCCAGGTTCAAACCCCAGAAGCACCAGATCTCACGAAACTCAAGGTGCTTGCCATTCTACAATGCACCCAAACGTTTTGTTTCCTGGGAAACTCTGTTAGAAAACCACTGTTTTAACCTCTGCAGCTGTTACCTGCAGGCATTTGGATATTTTCCCACACTGTTTTTCTTTGAAAGTTGTTTTTGTATTATTATTATTATTATTATTATTATTATTACTACTACTACTACTACTACTACCCCTATTTATATGAATTTTGAATTGTATTTGGGGGGAAAGGGAAAAAAAAACTGGGCAGTGTGAGAGAGGGGAGGAAGAAATAAGGCAGTTTTATTTAAAATATAAACATGTTGTGAATATATAAATTCACATAGCACATAGTTCCGCTATGGAATTTGCTCCTGCCTGAAACGGCTCACCCCGTCGCGGGGTTTCGAACCGCCAACCTTCTGATCGGCAAGTCCTAGGCTCTGTAGTTTAACCCACAGTGCCACCCGCGTCCCAAAAGTAGAATATACATGCCCATTAATTAGTCAGTCATGCTGCAGTTGACGAAGTCCTACTATGTTCAGAGTGATGGAAAAGGATATCTGCACTGGGTGCCAATCTGTTACCAGGCCACGTTCAAGGTGTTCCTATTGGTATTTAAAGCACTTAATGGCTTGGGACAAGTTTACTTGCCCCATATGAGCCCACTTGACTGCTTCAGTCCATGAAACTATTACAGGTGCCACATTAATACTTGTGGACCCTTACACTTCGGAACTCCCTGCCTATTGACATTAGGCAGACACCTTCACTGTACTCTGTTGGAGACCACTTAAAACATTTCTTCTTCTTCAGGGAAGCCAATCCAGACACAGAAATGTTAATGCGTTTGAATATCTTTTACTGTTAATTTTAATTATTGTCAATGGTGTTTTGTTTCGTTTTTATTATTTATTATTAAATCTGTATTTATATTTCTTGTAAACTGCTTAGAGATTTTAATATAGTCAAATGTCTTATAAACGTTGTTAAACAAATAAATAATCCTCAGGGAACCTGCATAAAGAGATTCAGCAAGCACCTTCTGTTTTAACCTTTAAACGCTTGCTGGAATCTTTTCTATGCCCATATTTCATTAGTTCTGGAAGCGGCATTTACACCATATGCAGGCTCAAACATACAATGTCAAGTGAAACCATGGGGGAAATGGAATAGGCTGTTGTGTGAATGCAGCCTCTGCTGTCCACCAAGAGGCTAAACAGGCAGTTTCTGACTGACTTACCATTGTTGCAGTGGCGCACACAGTCCTGGAAAACGGCTCGCCACTTCTCATGCTCCTTCCCAGTCATCACGCAGAAGTAGTAGTGCCGGGCGTAAGGGTGCCATAGGATGAGAGGGAACTCTGTGGGGCATTTGAAGACAGAGGTGTTGCCTGATTTGGGTGCAGAACCTGGGGGACAGAAAAACATGAAGAGACAGATGTGACAGTGGCAGAGCTAGGAAGAAACCACTTTCAAAGCTTGGCACACATCATGTGATTTATTCCTGACTGGAAAAACACACACAGTCAGAGAGGCCAGCAGACGAGGGCATTTGCGCTTATGTAATGTGGGATTTACACATCTGGCTAGTCGGTTGAGAGAATAGGATGTTGGATTTGATAGGAAGATCTCTGTTGCTACTCTGCATCATTCCCCATGCTGAATCTTGCCACCTTCCCAAATGGGTAATTCAGTCACTGCCTAAACAAAAGGAATATCTGGCCTCAAAGAAGACTGCCCATTGCACTTTTGAACATTGCAACTCCCCGCCAGGAAGCCAGGGCACAACAGAAACTCACACAGGGAAGTGGAGTCACCAGCGGCTGGGAAAGCCCATTGTTCTCTCCAGTCCTGCCTGATACACAGACTGTGCAAATTCCCTCCTCATGCAGAGAGGTAGCAACTAGCAAGAACTACCTTAACTTTTAGGAGAGCTTGCCCATCACATGTCCATGTGTTGCCTCTGTGGGGCAGCACTGCTTAGATTGGAGATTCAGCCAGATCACACAGAGAATTGCCCCCCCCCCCCCAGTGCTGGCAACACACACTTTGCTCTTCCCCAAACTGGTGCCCTCCAGATGTTATTGGACCCGGTGACTGCCATTGGTCCCAGCCAGAATGGCCAGTGATGATGGGAGTTGTACTCCAGCAACATCTGGGAGGGCCACAAGTTTCGCCATCCTCCTCCTTACAAGGTCACTGTCAGAACTGCAACACCAATCGCTTTTGGACCCTTGAAAGTGCTATACCACTGCTGGGAAATTTCAAACCTGGGGGCCAAATGTGGCTCTCCATGCCTTTTTAGCTGACTCTTGGAACCCTCCCCAAGCCACACCCCTCTCCACAGGCCACACCCACACAGGCCCTGTTTCACACTCCAGTTATTTTTGCCTAGCTGGAATGTGCTCTTCAATTCTGACGCCTCTTCTTTGTCTGTGTGGAGGGTAGAGAGGGGAGTGTGTAGAAACCACAAAGGAAAAATTAAGTTTGTTGCTGCACCCACCACTGGCATGTGGCCCTCAGAAGCTTGTCCAAAAGGGAATGCGGCACTCGGGTGGAAAAAGCTTCCTTGCCCCTGCACTATGCAAAAGTGCAGTAGTAATTATTGCCACTGAAGCGCGGTGCAAAGAAACAACAAAAGAAAATACATTTAAAAGAACTGGCATATTTTAATCCGCCCTACCCATTCAAGGAGAAGGTCAGAAGCCATGCTTGGATTCAGTAGCTTGAACAAGAGTCTTAGCGAGAGGCAGCAGACTAAATAACTAGATAAATGTTTCTACTGCAAGGCGCAGATTTGTCTTGATTTGTCTGCCACATGCTGCTGAGGCCAGGCAAACCTGCAGCCCACCTGCCACTTCTGGATTTGATTGCAGATGGCAAGCTCCCTGGAGGCCAGGCAAAGGAAATGGGAACATCTGGGAGGCAGAGATTGGGGGAAGGACCACAGCTAATGTGCTGGATCAGTGCATGGCCACAAGGATGGACTGGAGCTGGAGCTTAATAGGGACGACTTGGGGAGCAGGTTTCTCGTCTTGTGGGTGCTCCTGGACCCACTGCTGCCACTTGAGGCACAGATGGCCACGCTGACACAGAGTGCCTTCTGTCAAAACAGACTAGTGGCCCGGCTACAACCCTATTTGGATATAAATAACTTGGCTGCTATGATTTATGTTCTAGAAACCTCAGGACTGGACTACTGCCATGCTCTTTACTTAGGGCTGCCTCTGAAAACAGTGCAGAAGCATCAAATTAGTGCAGCAGCCCAGCTGCTGACAGGTTCAAGGCAAACAGAACATATAGCACAATCTAGGTTAACAGCTACACAGTCCAATTCATAGTGCTTGGTTGTCTTTTAAAAAAAATAAAAATGCATAAATAGCGTTTTTATTGGCTTTCCAAAATGCAGAAATAGATATTTATTTTTTAAGTTAGATTTATTTATTTTTAAGTTAGAGGCTTACATATATTGAGAAGGCACAAAGTGCTGGTTTTGACCTATAAAACTTTATAGATCAGGATCCCAGTATATTCTAGAATGCCTCTCAAAAGGGGAACATACCCATATCTTTATGTCGTCACCTGAGGCCCTACCCTGGTCCCCTTCTCTGAATGAGGCTCAGAGGGTGGTGACAAGAGAGAAGGCAGCCTTTCCCTGTGGCTCTCTTGAGTGAGGTCTGCCTCGCCAGGTAAAAAGCTCACCTTCCCATCCCCAGGCATCTGACAGACTTTGATGATGTTTTTGCTGCCAAAGCTTTCCACAGTTTTCTACTGGAGAAAGATTTGTTTTTAAATGAATAGTATGTGCTTTCATATGACTATGAATGTTATGGCATATTTATGTTTTTTAAGTGGGTTTAAACCACTTTGATAGGGACGTGGGTGGCGCTGTGGTCTAAACCACTGAGCCTAGCACTTGCCGATCGGAAGGTCGTTGGTTCGAATCCCCGCGATGGGGTGAGCTCCCGTTGCTCAGTCCCAGCTCCTGCCAACCTAGCAGTTCAAAAGCACACCAAAAAGTGCAAGTAGATAAATAGGTACTGGTCCGGTGGGAAGGTAAACGGCGTTTCCGTGCGCTGCTCTGGTTCGCCAGAAGCAGCTTAGTCATGCTGGCCACATGACCTGGAAAAACTGTCTGCGGACAAATGTCGCTTCCTCGGCCAGTAAAGCGAGATGAGCGTCGCAACCCCAGAGTCGTTCGCGACTGGACTTAACTGTCAGGGGTCCCTTTACCTTTAAACCACTTTGATACATCTGCGCAAAGAGCGAATAATGAGTTGAAATGAATAAATTTTTAATAATAATATAAGCTCAGTGGCAGAGCACCTGCCTTGTACACAGAAGCTCCCAGGCTGAATCTTTAGTGGCTTCCAGTAGGGCTAGGAGAAAATCCCTGTCGGGAATTCTGGAGAGCTGCAGCCAGTCAGTGTACATAGTAGCACTGAGCAAGCCCTCCAGGCCTGTCCCCAGGCCACGCCCCTCTCCTCAAGCCACACCCCTCACCAGCCCTGCTTCTCATCCTCCTGGAGTGTTTTTTGCCTGGCTGGAATGTGTCCTTGAACCCTGATGATGCCTCTTGCTTGCCTGGATGGAGGGCAGAGAGGAGTGTCCTGAGTGTTTGCAGAAATTAGCCTAACTGTACAAATGCAACATTTACTGTGCATTGTTGCTCCTCTCACTTCTGATTCTGACCCACGGCACTAGGGGCATGTGCCCCGCAGAAGGTTGCCCAGAAGCACATGCAGCTCTCGGGAAGAAAACGGGATGCCCAACGTTTTACGCAGGTCTAAATAAAAATCCACAGATCAACAAAACCCTGCAACCATCATAAATCTCCTGTGATGTTTGCAACAATCCTTGATTTTCCTCTGCACACTTTCACCTCTTCGGCCGTTGGTCCAACTGAATAGCCTCAGCTGTTCCCTGAAGAGGTGACCTCATCATCCCAAGCGGGAACCTGCCAGGCCCTGGGCAGCCGGCCTTTCTCCAAACAAATGTCTTTTCAGGCTTCTTGAAGGTCCTGCTTGGAAACGGACACTTCTCCTTGCACCCCACCCACCAGCCACACTCCCTGAATGCGGTGGTTTTGCAAGCCAGCCGTACACAGCTTGTGTCAAAGCCTGGCAATTCACACAAGGGCCAGGCAGCAGGTTTGCTTTCCCTTGTGAGCTGAGGCACTAGCACACCTCACCTCCCCACCCACCTCAAAACAAGGAGAGGGCAGACGGCAGGCTGGAGACATTATGAATCATAGAATCATAGAGTTGGAATAGACCACAAGGGCCATCAAGTCCAACCCCCTGCCAAGCAGGAAACACCATCAGAGCACTCCTGACATATGGTTGTCAAGCCTCTGCTTAAAGACCTCCAAAGAAGGAGACTCCACCACACTCCTTGGCAGCAAATTCCACTGTCGAACAGCTCTTACTGTCAGGAAGTTCTTCCTAATGTTTAGGTGGAATCTTCTTTCTTGTAGTTTGGATCCATTGCTCTGTGTCCGCTTCTCTGGAGCAGCAGAAAACAACCTTTCTCCCTCCTCTATGTGACATCCTTTTATATATTTGAACATGGCTATCATATCACCCCTTAACCTCCTCTTCTCCAGGCTAAACATGCCCAGCAATACAATACAGTTATCGTGTCCAATGTAACGTTAATGACATTTCAGTCATGATCAAGATGCTGCATGCTGGGCATCTCTGGTCTACATATTAAAATAAGAATTTAAGAAGAGCCTTGCTGCATCAGGTCAGTGGTCCATCTAGTCCAGCATCCTGTTCTCACAGTGGCCAACCAGAGGCCCGTGGGAAACCTGAATGGAACAGCAGCTCTTCCTGCTTGTGACTCCCAGGACTGGTATGCAGAGGCCCCCTGCCTCCAGCAGCAGAGGGAAACCGTATCCGCTGTGGCTAATAGCCACTAATAGCTTTGTTCTCCATTAACAGATTAGCTGAGGCTCCCCGGATACTTCCTATATCCAAATGAGGTGTATTAAGTAGCCACATCATATTCTAGATCAAATAGGCCAGACTGTGCCACTTCACAGTCTCATTTCAAAACAGAGGCAGATGAAAGCATGGATGATTATTGGGAACAGTAAGCAACTTTCTCCCAATAATCAAAAGGGCCTTAGTGATCGTAATTAAAACAAGAAGCTGGCCAGTCATTAGAGCTTTGGAATTTGCCTGCAGCTTGAAGGATCGACATTCTCATCCAGAACTGAGGCCCAGTTTAGGACGGGGAACCCATATACCAGGAGTGGGGAACTTTATTCAGCCCGAGGGCCACATTCCCTTCTGGGCAACCTCCTGGGGGCCGGTAGTAGGCAGAACCAGAGGCAAAAGTGGGTGGAGCGAAGAATGTAGATTTTAGCTCTGAGCAGTAGGGCAACGTCAACAAACACTCCCCTCCATCCTCCACCCAGGCAAACAAGAGGCATCATCAGAGTTCAAGAACATATTCCAGCCAGGCAAAAACTCTTAATAAGTGCACAAGATCAGTGAAAGGTGTGGCTTGCGGGGGGGGGGGAGGGAGTTCCAAGGGTTAGAAATATTGGCCTGGAGGGCCACTGTCACTGCCTGGGCCACACCTCAATGGCATAACATTCACCTTCTGTGCAGTTGGCTCCAGGTTCAACCCCCAGCATCTCCAAGCAGCGCTGGGAAAGTTCTTTGTCAAAAACCCAGAGACAGTACTGATCTAGATGGGCATGCTCATCACCCCTGCTATGCTCCTTTGAGCCCTAAGACAATGGAGCCATCTGGCACCAAGAAGGTGAAGGATGGGCAGTAGGACTCACCTGGCAAATTGCTATTGACCAGGTCCAGGTATTGCTCCAAGGAGGTGAGGATCTTGTAGCCAGCACTGTTGATGAGAATCCGGGGCTGGAGACCTCTCTCATAGGCCTGCGCAAGGAAGAGAACAGACGCATACCAGGAATGTCCCAAAGGCAAATCAGATCTGCTGGGCCACTCAAGGTTCTGGACCTTTGCTCCAGCAATATCTAGGCCCTGCAAATCCTTCAATAAATTGTCTTTCTGCAATTAACAGAACTTAGCAGATCAATCAAAGATCCACCCCAGACTGTATAAGACCCCTCACTTACCTGCCAGTACTTTCTCAACACATAGGGAACGGAATATGACTAAAATTCAGTTTTAATGGAAGACTCCAAACAGGAAGAAAAGTCCCCAAAATTGCCATCAAAACTAGATGAGCTCAGTCAGAACTGGTCTGTAATGTTGTGGGCTACACTCAAAAGGCAGTCTGCATGCATGGATATCGCTCCTCACCCCCACCCCCACCCCCACCCCCTGATGCTGCCTTGATAACCCTATACTGGATTTGATGTTTATGGTCTGCAGACCAAATAAAGTGAAAATGACTGAACTCAATATGGCACAGTATTGTCTACACTAACTGGCAGCAGCCCTCTAAAATTTCAGACAGGGAGTCTCTCCAGCCCTGCCTGGAGATGCCAGGTAGGTTGAACCTGGAACTTCTTGCATGCAAGGCAGATGCTCTACTGCTGAATCACAGCTCTTCTCCAATATAATGTCTGGGGTCTGGTGTTGGCTGGCTTATACTGACACAAGACCAGCTCAGTACTGTATACATTGAATACCAATGGCTCTCTAGGGTTTCAGGCAGAGGTTCTCTCCTAGCCCTCCCTGGTGATTGAACCAGGGACCATCTGTGTGCAAATCAGGTGCTCTACAACTGAGCTATGTGCCTTCACTAAACTGCAGTCAGCCAGGTCAAGTGAGAGTGTGCGCAAATTGTACTCCTGGAGAAGTTTGCTTTGCAGCTCAGAGAGCTGCTACTCCTGTGTAGGAGGGCCTCCTTGAGCAGCCAACCCCAGAGATCACCTCAAAACACAAGAGATCTCAAGAAGGTGCTCAAGACCCTACCTATAAAGCTGCCAGCGGGACAAGCGCCTCTGCCCAAATACCACCCACCAGCAAGCACAATGCATGCTTTGTTAACCCAAGTGAGGGGCCTCACCAGTTTGTTCTCATACAGCACCAGCCCATAATTATGGGGCACGACACAGAAACGGTTCCTCCACTTCTTGTTTTCTTCCATGTACTGGAACAGATTCCCCGAGAAGATGGTACGTGGCTCTAGTGGAACCTAGAGAGGCGGGAGTGGGGGGGGGGAGGGAGAGAGAGAAAAGCAAAATACAGTGAACCTGGAAAGAAGGTGCAGCAATGAGACTTCAGGACACATTTCTGCAAAACACTCACCCCCCCCCCCGACTTGCATGCCAGCTGACAACAGTACTGTAACAAATTCAGTCTTTAACAACCCTCCTAGTTGCCTAACTCCTCCCTCCTCCTCCTCCTCTTCTTCTTTCTTTCCTTGCCGATAACTCATAGCCGAGAAAGATTGTCTTCCATAAACACGGTTTTAACAATGAGTCTGTAAGTGGAGGCTAATTCTGGACTCGCATGTCCTTCCACAGTGGGGACACTGGTTCCCAGGTGGGAGCTGGTCACGGTGTGGATTTGCCAAGCGTGCCTTCCTCTTAGCAAGTTTCTCCCCTGCGTCCTGAGTTCGAGTGTCTTCAAAGTCCATGACACCTTTGGTAAAGGCTGTTCTCCAATTGGAGCGCTGGCAGGCCAGTGTTTCCCAGTTGTTGGTGTTTATTCTACTTTTTTTTAGATTTGCCTTGAGACAGTCTTTAAACCTCTTTTGTTGACAATCAGCATTAAGCTTTCCATTTTAAAGTTCGGAACAGAGTAGTTGCTTTGGAAGACGATAATCAGGCATCCGCACAACATGACCAGTCCAACAAAGTTGATGTTGAAGAACCATTGCTTCAACACTGGTGATCTTTGCCTCATCCAATACACTGACATTAGTTCGCCTGTCTTCCCAAGTGATGTGTAAGATTTTTCGGAGACACCGTTGATGGAATCTTTTGAGAAGTTGGAGATGGCGTTTGTAAGTGGTCCATGTTTCACAAGCATACAGTAAGGCTGGTAGTACAATAGCTTTGTAAACGAGCATTTTGGTTTCCCTGCCTAACTATAGTATCAGGAACTCCTTGTAGGAGAGAGAATACCTTGGTGGAGGAGAAGTGATCTATCCATTCCTCCTTTGCCAGAGCACATTTCCATGCTAGATGCAGCAGAAAAAAGATTTTTCCCTTTAACCCCCCCCCCCCCCGGCAAAACTTTAAAATACTGAAATCAGGACAGGTAGCATATAGAAGAACACCTACCCATCATGCTAGAAAACACAACTGCCCAACAAAATTCGGACAGAGATGGCAAAGCACTCCTTCATGCTATGTTTAATTCCCTTATAGAAATCACTTTCCCAAGATTTTTGCTGCTGCTTTAGATGACTTTGAGAGAGTGGATGGCAGGAGGGCAGGTCTGTCAGGGGCTATTAAGCTAAATGATAAAACAGAACCCCCACGTTCAGAAGAAGTAGACCTCCCAAATGCCAGTTTACTGGAGAGCACCACTGGGGAGAGTTGTTGCATCATATCCTGCAAATGGCATTCTGCACACATTTGGTTGGAAAGCAGGAAAGGCCTACCTCAGAGGGATGTTGCAAAGATGCACAAAAGGTGCTTCCAACACTTGAAACAGGCCGAGTAATCATTATGCTAGGAAACTATCAAAATATCCAGGTGTAGTAAGTTTCACAGGTTGCCATATCGGAAGAGGTGTCATTGGCCTTAAGAAAGCCATTTCCATTCATTTCCTCAGAAGATCCTGTAGTTTTGCTTTCTTTTAACATCAGAAATTAATAGTAATTCTCTTTTTCATTGAGGCAGTCTTTAGCAATCCTGAAGAATCTCACATCCCAACCTCCTCATGAGTCAGGAGCAGTCACTTCCTGTGCTGGCTTTGTTGACGAAGCAGCATAAACAGGAACAAACCCACTCATCTGTTTCTTTTACACACACACACACACACACACACACACACAGCCATCTGTCAGAGAATTTGAGCATAAATACTAAAAGACACTTAAAAAAAATTTTTTTTTTTTGCAAGGCCAAGGGTGAACAGATATGGCTGCAATCCTACACATACTTTCCTAGGAATAAACCTTACTGAATACAGTTGGATTTCAACTCTTGATTAAACATGCAAAGGGTCCAGCTGCACTTCATCATTAAATTATTTGAATTTGATCCCCGAGGAAAGGAAGCAAACTTCCCTGTCTGCCGATAAACACAGATAGTCTGCATGTTATAAGGCCACTGTGGCTAGGATGGTTTGCATGCGTTTGCAAGGAGAAGCATACCACAACGTGAGCAACCACAGCACTTCAATGCAGTGGCAGCTGGCTGGTGACCGTGGTGGAACAGAAGGCAGAGTAATCAACTGTGGGCGGAGCCAGAGGCAACGGCATAGAACGAGCAGCTCCCTGATTGGCTGCAACTGGGAAGGCAGGCAGCTAGGGGGCAGAGAGAGGTTGATGAGGCATTGCCCCATGTGCCCTAATGGACCAGGCTCCAATGCTACGGTGAGAATGAGTCAAGGTTATGACAGGCACATGGACACAAACTACCCAGTAATAAGCAGGGCACAGCCAACATCCTCCCTCCCTTGCCAAGGTCAGCCTTAACCACAGGCGAGCAACACCCAGGGGTGGTTATTAAAGCCCAAATGTTTATTTATCTCGGGTATCCTGCAATAAACAGGAGGCCACAGCAGACACAGCAAGGACACCAGTTTTTGAAAGGCACACACCCCTGGCTGCTTATGCACTTCAGAATTAAAGAGGGATCTGTTGCGCTCTAGCGACAGGACGGCGGTCATTAGCAGCTGTCCCTTACAGCTCAGGACTAGAAAGCAGGTTTGATGGAGGCAGCTAGCCAGCCACAAACAGTGGAGAGATGCTCCGCTTTGCACAAGGACAGGGGATTCCGACTCCTCATTTGCCATTTTGAAACCTCAGCCAGTCAGATCAAGAAACACTTTCCCGCTTTCACATATGAGAGGAAGCATTTATTCGCACAGCACATATTAAAACAATGGCATCCTCTCCCAGAAGATGCAATGACGGCCATGAATTTGGATGGCCACCCTGTCAAATTTGGCCTCCAAGGGATGGGGGATTATTATTTGATTTGGCCACAATTAGTTCTCCAACCCCCAACCCTCGTTCTGGAGAAAAATGTGCCAGCATTTCTGTCGCGATCTCATGCATGACTTGAAAGCAAAACTACAGACCACATATGTAGAAAAACATTTCCCCACAAAATGAGCAACAAACACAAGCCAGTGTGGTGTAGTGGGTAGAGTTCTGGACTAGGACCTGGGACACCAGGCGGGCGCAGGGCACAGAGGATTCATGGGGCCATGCTGTGTAGCCTGCCTGCCTACCCACATAAGGGGAAGCCTGGCCGGCTGACACTGGTGAGGGGTCCGGGGGTCTAGCGGCAAGGTAAGGCCAGAGACCTCCGGTGCCCAGAGACCTCCAGTGTCCTGTGCCCCCTCATAACCATGTGCCCAGGGCTATGGCCCCTCTGGCCCTCCTCAGTCTACTCCCCTGTTTCAAAGCAGTGTACACACCATTGTAAAGAACCAGCCTGTTTATTACAGCCAAATAAGGTCAAACAGCAGCAGCAAGTTCTCTTAAAAAGCATCAAATAAACCTGCATGTAAATTAAAAGAACATAAAAGAGAAAGTAAAATGCCCTCGCAAACCATCCAAGTTAAAAGAAGCTTGAGCAAATAATAATTTTAAGAAGTCTTAATCTTGCGCCTTAGGCTGTGTACACGCCATGCATTTAAAGGACATTTAACATGAGTGCGCACCGACACACACAGAATCCTTGGAACTGCAGTCTGTTAAGGGTGCCGGGAACTGTAACTGTGAGGAGAAACTACATTTCCCAGGATTTTTGATTCTTTTTGGGAGGGGGGGAAACTTAAAATGTATGCTGCATATATAGGGATTCCCCCCACTTATGGGTGGGTTACATTCCAGGCCCCTGCATGCATAAGTGAAATTGCATAAAGCGGGGAGCGCCCTCTAAAAAGCCTCTGGATGTCTATTTCCCCCTGCTCTCCAGCAATCTCTCCTGCTCGTTCTTTGTGCAGTCCAGACGATCTGCTGTTGCAGCTCTGGGGCCAGCAGGAAGCTGTAGGACATGTGGGAAAGTGGCTGCTGCGCTACCCCACACAACAGCTGCTAGGCGGTGAGGCTGAGCAGCATAAACCAAGTCCTACTGTGCCTTTGGTCTCTTTGGAGCTTCCTCCGCCCTTACTGATATCCTCTTAGGGCTCCTGGGAGGGTCTTCTCGTGAGCTACAAGGAAGTTTCAGCTCTCTCACATTTCTCAGTATGATTCTGTTTGTTTATTTATTTCCTGGCACCACGCAAATATTTGGTTGCACGCAAGTTGAATGTGCATAAATTGGGGGGCGGGAGAGAAAGAATGCCTGTAATCAGCAAAGGTGCTAGGAGGAGTTCTGGAACTAGGACGGGGCTACCACCAAGAAGGCTCTGGTAATGCCCACACCATACATTTAAGCCACAGAGTAGCGATTCCCAGCACCCTTCCCAAACTATAATTCCCAGGATTTTTGGCGGGGAGCCATGTGCCTTAAAAGTATGGCGTGGATCTGAGCTTTGGCATTTCCTAGTCCAATAAGGGTACCGTCAGGTGTCCTTCCACTGACTCCAAATTCTGCAGAAGCCTTTTAGAAAATGGTTTCCGGGTCCAGCACCTTAACCACATGCCTTGGTCAATAGCTTTCCACCACCTGGCCTGGTCTGAAAAGCAGCTGGAGGCAGCTTCACTAACATGTGACCCCTAACCTTAATGAAGATGTTGGAGACCTTCCTCCTGCCAGTTCTCCACCCTCACCCAGCAGCTGGGACAGGTCACAAGACTGGAAGCCCTCCAGGTTCCCTCAGGATCAAAGGCTCAAGGCAGACAGCACACCAAGTATCCTGCTTTGCATCTGAGCTTGTCTTGCCTCTAGGCAGACAGAGAAAGTTGCAATTAAGCACTCAAGGGTGTTTATATGCCTTGAAAAGGATGGAGGATCAGCTGGAAAGAAACATCACTGCCTTGTTTGGACAGCAGAAGAGACAAGAGGTAGAAATGGGCATAGGGCCTTCTTGGCAGTGGCACCCTCCCTGTGGAATGCCCTCCCA